CAATATATTTAAGAAATATCTATAAAGACGCCATTTTTTGTAGATAGAATAAATTTTTATTCTAAATCGCTCGATCTAAGTGATTGATAGAAATGCATTTGCAATTCTGTCGCCAGGCTAACCTAAAAGTCAGCGTGGCCAGCCAAAGTAAAAATGATGAGTGCAGTGTACAGAAGATAAATGAATAAAGCCCTTATAAAGTTCAATTTTAAAAATAATTGTGGATGAAATTAGCTAAACATAAACTAAACAACTTATTTGTTATAAACGAATTTCTTTACGCGAGAATAATTTATTTTCCAATTCGTTTAGGCATTAAGCCTTAGGCAGTTAGGTATTACATAATTCTTGTTTATTTCCCTACTTTTTGGTTTATTCTAATCTGCTCGTTAGTTTATTCCAAAATTTATTCGCAGCACCCAATCCTCATATTTATACGATTTGTTTTCAACCGTCTTAAATTGTTAATTTCCTTTTTGCGACCCCACTTAAGCATTTAAAAATTGTTTTTAACTGGATGTACATCCTATCGAAACGACGCTTTCAACTCGAATATCTCATCGTTCACCCTTAGTGAAGATCTACGAGAATTTAATGCAATGTTACTTATGGCATATGGCAAGATTCGGTGGAGTATTAAGGAAACAACGCAGTTTCAGCGGAGTAAAATGCTTAACAACGCGCATGCATATTAAACTATTTAAAGAAAATAATATAGTAGTTTAGAGAATAAAATGGTGTAAATTTAGATTTAATGCAATTTTTTTGCGGGGATTCGAGTAGGATGGAAGGATATTAATGGTAGAAATTAATGGGAATTAAAAGATCCCTGTGGAGGGCTCATGGAATCGTAATGGAATTTAAACTGAAACTATTAAAGGGTTATGAGAAAGGATGAAGGGAAAATGATGGAATATGAGGACGATGCTAAAGAAATACAATGAGATTTGAAAGGATTTGATGACGAGATAACGGCTTTTTTGGAACAAATGGGCAAATCGCAGTTTGACTATATCTTTGAGGAGTAGAGACACGGACTTCCGAGTGATTTGGCATAGTATAAGTGGTGTTTCCACTAGTCAATTTTGGCAAAAAAATCCGACAGGATCTGAGTGGGTATTCAAAAGAATAAAGGTGGTAAAAGGCCTTATGGCTACTTGCTATAAAAGGACTAATAGCGTATAGCAGGAATGCAGTGATCTTTAATGGTACTGAGGGATGTTAAGTGGTGTAACAGGTTCCCGCGAAGTTCCAAAAAAAATACTGCGACGAGGTTTAAAAGAATACTGTTTGCTGACCAAGTTGTTTAACTTACAGAACAGTCGGGAAATGCCGTTCATGTTTTCAACGGAATGTTTTCCTCGGAGATGCATAAATAAAAACACAATACAATGCAATGAAACATTAATATTAACATATAAAATTAAACATTACATTTTACAACAGAATTAATATAAAATGAACGAAGTGAAGATAAAAGGACTTTTGAAATTTCTAATAGTGTTCACCGTTTCTGGTTCCGCTGACTTGTTGGATAAGACAAATCGCTTTCCAAGGAATCACTTCGCTACAGCATTACGTTACGTGTAAACCGCCACAGCACCATCCGAATTTTCGAAAGTTTGTTTTTTGCTCGCACCGGAAATAAAAGAACCCCAGCAGCAGTGCTCCAAAATGCGAACAACAATCCATTGCACCGTTCTATCAATGATTTAAAACGAAGTTTAAAATGATCTCCCAGAGAGTTAAAAAATAAATTTGAAAATAATAATTAATGAAAGAACTAAATAACTAAATTAAGAAATCGAAGTTTAAAATTTGTTGATTTCGAGTTATCAATAATAACAAAGAAATCGAACTTTTCACTTTTTAATGATTCGTGCCATTTGATAAATAAATCGAATAAAGCGCTTGAACTCGTTGCTTGCTCAATCAAAGCAATCTTTCACCTATACAAATTTAACCATAGTAATTGATAATAATAGTAATAATAATAATTATTAATAATTATAAATCTCGATTTTTGCCATTTGATTATTTATAATGCATTTACTTCAAATTGTACAATATTACATAATATTATAGTTTTCTCTTTATAATTATCCTATTTAAATTAATTTTTTTCATATTTTCTTTTTCTTTTTTTTATCATTAATTATTATTTGTTATTTTACCTGTTGTTATTAACACAAGCAAGAAAAGTAATGCGAAAAAAGGAATAAAGCTTATAAAGAAGGTAGTAAAGATAGAGTTGTTGGAACGAAGCCATACAAATCCCCGCAACTTCCATGTTACTGATAATTTGTTTGTATTATATTTATTTAGTTAGCGACAAATTAATTTGTCGTCCTCTTGGCTGGTTTTCAATAAAATCCAAGCAATAATTATTATAAAGATAAATAATTTTTTTCGATATTTCACTGTAATATTAAATGCGCTTCTTGAGCTACTTGCTCATCCCAATTGTATTTCCTGTTTATTAGAATACTAAATGAAATTATTAAATGATTATTATTTAATTGTTGCGACAATAATTTGGATTTTTTAATTTATAATTTATGAGTTTAATAAGAATAGAAATAATTTATATAACAATTTTTACAATTTTTTTAACAACAATTTTAATTAAAATTTCTAACTTTCCTTTTTTTTTTATCTGGTTTTTTGTTAAATAGTGCCAATGAAGACGATGCGATAAAAATTCATAAATTTTGATGGTTTTCATAGATTAACCAAACTAATGTTGTGGCGAAATGAGAATAATATTATTGTCATTTCATTTATTTTTCGATATCAATTTTTACTAATTTTTATCATTGCAAAGGTCAAAATTGAAATCGTCCAAACTAATTTGTCACTAACTAAATAAATATGCAAACAACTTATCAGTATCAGTAACATGGAAATTGCAGGGATTTGTATGGTTTCGTTCCAACAACTCTATCTTTACTACCTTCTTTATAAGCTTTATTCCTTTTTTCGTATTACTTTTCTTATCATTATTATAATTTTGAATAAAAATTTAATTAACCATAGGTTTCAGGGTATTGCATTGCCATTAGCATTTTACTAAGAATTCGGAGAGATGGCATAGCGACAGCGAATGAAACCCACGTGGCAGATAACCGAACCTTTGGGGAAACCACTCAATTCTACTATATTACTAAATTATTATGCATTTTCCTTCCTATATTTTATTAATTTTCGCTTTTGATTTAAATAAATTTAATCGCTTTTAAAAAGTTCGAGCAGTTAACCTTGAAGATCTTTTTAAAAAACTAATCAAAAAGTATATAAATGGGGATAGTGAAGGAAACGAAAGAAAAATGGCTTCTACTGCTTTCAGATAAGACATCGAATTATGAGGTTGGAAAAGCCTCATTAACGGAGCAGCCAGCCCGAACAATAATGGCTTAGGTTATTAGAAGAAGAACAGAAGAGTTAAAATGGCAAATTTTTGAAAATATTGAGATATTTTTTGTGATACACCAACACATCATAAATATTTTCAGAACAAATTTTATAAATTATGTTCTTTCTAATTACGCTTATCATTAGTCTCTACCGGTTTCTCGAATCACATAAATTCTACCAAGGAATCATTTAGCGTTATAAGTAGCGGGGAAATAAATAAATAAATAGCCACCATCACACCTGGACTCTTTGAACCCTGCATCTGAAGTCCCAGCATCGGAAATAATAACCAACCAGCGATAATCTGAAGAACGTGCCCTAAGTAGCAAAGACTTTTTGATGATACCTAATGGAAGTGGTATTTGAATGAAAGTGGATGAGACCATTTTATCCACTCCAAGTAAAATGTATCTTAGACATGATTCAAAGGCAGATAACTTCTCAATATCCTCCATTCTCATTGGCCATGTCACGCAGCCATATAGCAAGATGGAAATCGAATCGCGGCTTTGTATGGTGACTCGCAACAGCTCCATAAAGATTTCACCAACAGGAAAGGCATCCAGTATTTATTCACACTGTAATTTCATTTTTTGCCTGGCCATTCGGCATTAGACTGGGTCCGAGGTCTGAGGTTTAAAATCGGATACTTCCACTTTGCTTCACCAATCACCAATGAGTTTATAAAAAGTGGCAAACTATTGATCCATAAATTCTTGTATGCATAACCGTCTTTAAAAACATCTACGCAGGCTTTTTATAAAAATGCGCTTTAAAAACATTTTTCCCTTTTTTCTTCATTTTCTCATCGAATTAAAATTTAAAACCAAATTGAATTAAAATTAAAATTTAATTAAAATTTGAAATTAAGTAATTTAAAATTAAAATTTTATATAAAAATTTTATATCAACATAGCGCATAAGTCTATAAATACCCCCACAAATAACCGAAAATCCAACCTCAACTCGGTTCCAAAGTTCACCGCTCACCGAAACCTTCCCTTAAACCACACTGCCAAATTTTTATCACATAGATCGAGTAAGGCTTTACTATAGTTCAGCTTATCAAAGTGTGGAACTATAGGTCGAAAATAATTTGATAGTTAGTATAAAATCTGAGATTTAGAATTCGGAGAATTAAAATTTCGCAGTTTGATTGAAAGTGGTGTGGCTGGTTTTTGTTATTTTTTGTGTATTTTTTTTAATGAAAATTTTTCTTTTAATATTTTACTAATTTTATTTTGAATTTGCGACTTTTCTTCCTTTTTTTATTTATATATGATTGTTTTTATTTTACAAATTAAAACCGTGTTGGCCAATATTTGTGGGGCGAGTGGGCCGCGCGGTGCTCGGATGTGGTGTCGGCGCAGTAACCGTCAGCCTGACGCGTTGTGGCGGAGCCTCTTCAGCCGTCAGCCTGACGCGTTGTGGCGGAGCCTCTTCAGCCGTCAGCCTGATGCGTTGTGGGGAGCCTCTTCAGCCGTCAACCTGACACGTTGTGGCACATTTTATTTTTTTCTTACGAAAAACTATTGTTTAACGGTGAAATTTTTGTTTTCTATAGGTTTTTTGAATTTTTTATTGATATGTCGAGTGTTTTCAGACTTACGAATATGGTGTTGGCCGATTTAGGCCGGAAAATCCGAAATGCCATCGGGAAATTAGGCCAGGCAACAGTAATTAATGAAGAAGAACTGAATAGTATGCTGAAAGATGTTTGTACAGCTCTTCTCGAGGCTGATGTTAATATTCGTCTTGTGAAACAACTGAAAGATAATGTGAAGTAGGTCGATATAAATTTTCATTTCATTAATTATTTGATTATTTGGCATTATTTTATTATGCGGCATTTTTTAAGTCCAAATTTCGACCGAACATCGACCGACAGATATAGCTCGAATTATATATACAGCCTTTGCGAACAATTTAAGGAAAATTAATTCGCGAAGGACTGAAGGTATGGTTATCGAAGATAGCAGGTCTTATAGGCGGTTTTTTGGAAGAGATGATGAGGGAAAATTGTAGAAAAAACTGCACATACTTAGCATAAGAGCTTTTTGGGTAATTCCCACTGATAAGCAAAAAATTTATCGGCTGAATCTATTTATGAATCGGCTGAACGTCAATATCAAATATTTGGAGATAAATATGTCTTTATAGTAGACAAACGTTCTTTTCTTCGGATCCTTATTTTTGACGATGGCGGGATTTCTTACCACAATTTGAAAGAGTTATTACAGTGGTTTGGCTAAATATGAACCTCTTGGCATATACCAAAATCGAATTGCACTTGAAGGAGACTGTGATTATTTAGGAGTTCTTTGCTGGATTGGTCCCTCATCATTTTTAAAAACTTCTGCAGCAAGAGTTATAATACAATTATAGTATCAAGGTAGTCCACCAGAAACTATACGCATAGCAGCTAGAGCTGATCAATAAAAAGAATTTCCATTATTTTATAGTTTTCCAAACTGAATCGCAAGAATTTTCAATAATATTTCTTTTTCGTTTAAAAATATCCATTTTCTAATATTTTTTTTAATATTCCTATCTGGTTATTAATCTTTTGAAATTTTGTAAAAATTTAGAAAAATTTGATTAGAGGTATTCAAATTGCTTTATTCGAATCTTAAAAAAATTTATTACTTAAAGAAAAACACTTGATTTCGATGAAATGCCTGGTGGTGTTAATAAAAGGCGTCTCATTCAGCGTTGCGTTTTTACTGAACTTGTCAAATTAGTGGATCCGGACGTTAAAGCTTTTCAACCAGTTAAAGGAAAGCCAAATGTCTTCATGTTTGTTGGTTTGCAAGGTTCTGGGAAAACTACCACTTGTACTAAAGTATCTCATTTCAACTTTCAACTCGCTTTTATTTATACTCATATTTTTATTTTCTTAATCAAGCCAATAAATATTTTAATTTAAATCCTAAGAATATCATTCTACTATGAATGTAAGGTTTTTTTCTATGGTGGCATTAAAGATCTACATAAATTTTAGTTAGCTTACTACTATCAGCGAAAAGGATGGAAAACTTGCCTAATTTGTGCAGATACGTTTCGTGCAGGTGCCTTTGACCAATTAAAGCAGAATGCTACAAAAGCTCGGATACCTTTTTATGGGAGGTTGTTATAAACCTATTTGTATACATTACCGTAAATTTACTTCATGGGTATTTTTTTGGTTTGTATATCATTAAATTTCAGGTAAATTTTTATTTTTTAGTTACACTGAGATGGATCCGGTGGTGATTGCGACTAATGGTGTTGCAAAGTTCAAAGAAGATGGGTTTGAAATTATAATTGTTGATACATCAGGTCGTCATAAGCAAGAGACCTCACTATTCGAAGAAATGCTTCAAGTGTCTAATGCAGTGGTAAGATATTTTGTTAGAAAATAATAGGTTCATATTTGTATTGAAGGAAAATATTTAATATCGATTATTTTTTTTGTAACAATATTTCTTTATTGTTTTTTAATTAGTTGTTTTTAGAATCCAAATAATGTTGTATTTGTTATGGATGCTTCAATAGGTCAAGCTTGTGAAGCACAAGCCAAAGCATTTAGTGAAACAGTCGATGTCGGTTCAGTAATCATTACTAAATTGGACAGTCATGCAAAAGGTGGCGGAGCATTATCAGCGTTAGTCATTCACTTTACTTTTTTAATTTTTGTTTTAATTTTTATTTTTATTTTAGTCTCATTTCTCTATCTGAGACTTTTTATCCTAAAAAATTTGTAAAGGATTAGAATTTCACTGAATTTTCTTATTTGTGATATTTTCTTATTTTTCACTTGCATGGCACAAGGATGCCATATTGGTAATCATCTCTAATGGCCAAAAGAAATTCAGCTATTTCAATAAATACAAAAGTTTTATGTTGAAGAGGAAAGAAATGCTTGCCTTCTCATGTATATTTAATAACTTTCATTTACATCTGCTATTTAAGTGTAGCGGCAACGAAGTCTCCAGTCATTTTTATTGGTACTGGTGAACATATTGATGACTTTGAGGCTTTTGAGGTAAAAGCGTTCGTTCAGAAATTACTTGGAATGGGTGATATTGAAGGTTTGGTGAAAAAAGTGAATGAAATAGGTATTGAAGATAATGAAGAATTGATCAAACGATTAAAACATGGTTAGTCGCATCAAAATTTTTTGTTATTTTTACTATATTGAAGTTTTTATTTTATCTTATCACATATTTGCGTACTTTCTAGGAATGTTTACCTTACGCGATATGTACGAGCAGTTCCAGAATATTCTGAAAATGGGACCTTTTAATCAAATTATGGTTATTTTTGCATTTTCCTGCTAATTTCTTTTTAAGATGTTTATTTGTTTTCTTATCGTTATAGCACGGATAATAATTTGATTATTTGATGCAGTTCATTTTCATTCCGAAGAAATATACTGTTTTTATTTTTCATTTTTTTGTTATTATTTATTTTTTATTTTTCTTTAATTTCGTAAAATTTAAATCGTTTATCTACTTTTTATTTGAATTTTTCTTTGACATCTTATTTTAATATATTTTATCTCATTTAAATATGATTCTTGTTCTTTCTGAATTTTATTTATTTCGTATTGTTCATTTATAGAGTATGATTCCTGGCTTTGGTCCTGATTTCATGTCTAAAGGAAATGAGCAAGAGTCACAGTCACGATTAAAAAAATTAATGACAATAATGGACAGTATGTCAGATGCAGGTCATAAAATTTCATATATAATTTATAAAATTTTTAATTTGTTGACCACCTTTTGTGCAAAAATTATTTTTTGCCGTTTATTTAAATATCTAAGTAAAATAAAAATCCTAAAATTTAAAATTGTTTTTAATATTAGATTTTAATATTAGACTCTTATTAGATTTAGTATTAAAATTTTTTTTCCAAACTTATTTCTAAAATTTAATAAAATTTAGAGCTGGATCATCCTAAGGCAAATGATTTGTTTTCAAAAGAGTCAGGTCGCATTCAGCGTGTAGCTAGAGGTAGTGGAACTGCAGTCAGTGAAGTCAAAGAACTTTTGATGCAATATAAAAAATTTGCTGATATGGTTAAGAAGATGGGAAGTATGAAAGGCTTATTTAAGGTGTGCTTATTGTATAAATTTTCAATTATATGCGATTACTTGCTTTAATTTCAAGATAAAATCTAAACTGCTAATAAGTTTTAGAATGGCGATATGAATACTAAAAACATCAATCCATCACAATTGCAAAAATTGAATCAACAAATGGCAAAAATGATGGATCCTCGCGTATTACAGCATATGGGTGGCATGGGAGGTTTGCAGAATATGATGAGACAATTACAAGGAGCATCATCTGCTATGTCTAACAGAAGGAATAATTAATTGTGATTAAATAATCCTAATCTTTTATTATCCTTAAATTAGCCAATTTTAAATATTGTATTTTGTATTATTTTTTTCACTCACTCAAATGCTAATGGTTGATTATATCATCCGCTGGTTGGATATTTTATTAAGATTTTTATCTTATAAGCACCAATTCTGTGGGTTAGACGAGAAATATTTGGTGGGCTGAACATAGGATTATTTGAACGATTATAAAAATGATCTTGTAAAATAGTTTGTTTATTATTTTATCTGTAAATGACATGATTGAAAAAATTTATTTATTCAGGGCAAAATTTGTAAAACGGTATAGAGGAAGATCATGATCATAACATAGTGTGGATAACAGCGGGTAATGCATGTATTATTTTGAGAAGCCTGTAAATGATAATTTTTTCTAATTTATGAGTTATTATTATTAATTAATTTATTGTTATTGATTATTATTATTGTCGTTATTATTTTTATTAATTGTCGTTATTATAAAATTTCTAAATTTAGATTTTGATCAGAAGAATTTTAATAATTAAATTTTTATGATTTTCATTTATTTTGTTAATTTTGATAATTCAGCAATTAAAAATTCAGCAATTTCACCAGCAAGTTTTTTATGAATTGTTGCAATTAGCAAATACCATTGGAATGAATTTATTCAAAAAATATATGGTTATATTGAGACAGCCTTTCCTTTTGATCTTATGTATCTCAATATAGTGTGGTGTTACTGCTGATTCACCTGTGTTTCTATTCTATCAGTTCATAGATGATAGTGGAGTGCATCAGTTAATTCAGCTGCATATCGCCAAATCGTTATTGCTCTTCTCTTTTTTCATATGTGGAATAATTTGAAACGGACGAACTCCACTGATTATCATTATCATCCAACAGTATTCGAGAAGACTATCCATTCCAAAATAAGTCCAAATAATTTTTCAGTCCACAATTTTATCTTCGTTATCCAATTTTAATATCTGTCGCTATTCGCTACTCAACGGTATAATCGCTGATACAAATGCATTATCTTAATTTCATATTTCTCCCCTCTAAGCTTTAAGCCATTTATTACAATTTTTAGATATTTTTTTATTTTTTGACATTTTCTCTGCACTTTTTATCACTGTTGAATGGTAGAATTATTAATTTTCAGAAAATGTGCCAAATTTCAGCGATTTAACATCATTTAAATTAAATTATTGTCGCTTTATTAAATATTTTATTGAAAAAAAATGCTATTTTGCGTTGACTATTTAAATGTAATTTTTCACTTATTTTCACTTATTTGATCATTCATCTTTTATTTTTTAGTTTTATTTTCTAATTGTTTAGCAAATAATTTAAATTATTTAATAAAATTTTAATTTTAAATCATTAACGATTTCTACAAACGATCGTAATTTATTTATTTTGAAAGGGAAAAAAAATATGATTTTTAATGAAAAATCAAAAAAACGCTTCGATTAGGAAAATTCTATGTTTCTTATTCATTCAGATTTTCGGTGTTTTGTGATAACCGTGTTTGTCCTATTTAAATAAATAAAAACGATTTGACGAGGTAACGAAAACTGCCGAAAATTATTTTGAATGACCATCGTCAATTGAGTAATAAAATAATAAAAGTAATGAAGTAATCTTTGCAAATGCGCCGAGGACGATAAATTAAATTAAGAGGGAGTAGAAAACGGGAGAATTCAGTTTAATGCATTTATTTTTAATATAAAATTCCACCTTATAAATCGGACTGACCAAATTTTTGTGTACAAATGGGAGATATCTTAAAAAATAGATTAATAAATTATTGATTGGAAGCGGTGCAATTTTGCTCGCTTGCCACGCGTTAATTATATTAGATAACCTCAATGCAGCTGCTTTCTCAGCGCTTAAGTAGAAAGCCGGAATAAAAACTGATCACCGCATGAATTGATAAAAATCTTTATTCGCCGTCTCAAACTTGTGTAATTAAACCAATTAATATGTGGACAGAAAAATAATATCTGATATGAATTAAATCGAGAGATAACTATTTCAAAACAAATAAGAAATTCTTAATCAATGTAAGGGATGTTAAATAAGAAAATGTATATAAATTGACCCTTATCTTTTATTGAAATATGTGAAGATAAAGAATTGCATGTTAATGAAAGGTTTCATTTGGCGTATCGGAGTCACCATTTTGAAATAATAATAATTTTGAATTAAAACATCGCATTTCGCGATTAAAATATCTTTCTGCACTGTTCTCTTATTCTTACAGCGAATGGTTCCACAGTACAAAAGCATTGCAATCGCTCAGTTTGCTCGATTGTCAGAATATGTCGAAACAAATGGTCCTCTCGTAGCTAAATTTAAATAAATTGATTATAAACTTAGCGATTAAATATTAGCGAGAAAGTCTTTAAATCCTATTCGAATATTCAGCTTATCGCCAGCGGCGCTGCCGACTCACCTGTATTTCTATTAAATAAGTCTGCATAAGCTATCAGAGCGCTTAAGTAGAAAGCCAGTAAATAGATTTTAAAAAAATCGTCGAAATAAAATTGTACAGTCAAAGCTGCATCAAAGAATTTATAATTCAATAATTCAAACTCACTCTAATGAAAAAAAAATGTTACTGGAAAATTTGGCAAAATCTACATGAACATGAATTAATGTTGCATGCAATTGCGCTCTATATTAGTATCGTTGCAACCAGCGACAGCCACCTACGCGGCACATTTCGGAGAAGTACCTGGGCAATAACCGCCTTTCGCCAGATCATTTGATCATTTGACTGTTGATCTTATCATCCATTCGGCATATTTATTTGCTTTTTATCAGTTCGTCATAGTTATATCAATTAATTCAGCTGCATATCGTCAAATTATTATTCTTCTCCTTTTTCAGTTATGGAATAATTAGAAACCAACAAATTCCACTGATATTTCGATCAACAATATGTTTAAACAAATCTAAAAGTTTTTTTTTCCACAGTTTTCTTTCATTTATCCAATTTTATTTTAGAATTTGTCGCTGTTTATCTGAAATAAAACAATTGATTAGTACACAAATGAGTATCTAATTTTGTATTTTATATTTTTTTCTTTAAACTTCGCCATTTTTATTACAATTTTAAAAAAAAATTTTTTATATAAAAATAATTTTATATATAAAAATTTTTTCATTTTTTTATGCAAAAATTTTTAAAAAAATTTTTTTGTTTTCTTTGATATTTTCTCTATACTTTTTATCACTTATAGTATTTATAGTATTTAATATTTTCATTAATTTTTATTTTCCTTAATCTTTAGAGATGCCAATTGTTTTGGTCTCAATTCACTGCCAAATTTCCATCAATTTCCATAATTGCTCGGAAAAATTCCTTTATTTATGAAAAGCTTCTTTTCTTTTCTTAAATCGGTTCTTTTCTGGTTCAGTTGTATCGGACGATCGCCACTTCCCTTCATCGTTAATAGTTTCAGAACCCACTGAGAGTTGAGGCTATTGGAAAGACATTGTAAATGTAAAAATTTCCAAAAAGTTAAAAATAATGATGTTTACAGCTATTTATTGAACCTTTCTGCCAATGAATTGCGATTGGACCTTAGTGATATTTCAAAATCAGTCGGCGATGGACTTTTAATTCTCCATCATAGCGACTCTTTATCTTATCATTTATTATTCACATTAATTTCTCTCAAAATATACCAAATTTTAGCGATAAAGGCGATTTTTTGCCCTCAAAACCTTTTTGATTAAATTTTTTAAAATTTTCATTGAAATTTTTCTTAATTGTTTATTTGTTTAAATTACAAATTAATTCAAATTTTTTAATAAAATTTCAATTTTATTTTAATTTTAACGACTTCTATAAGCAGTCACAATTTATTTGAAAGAAAAGAAGTGCGAATTTTAATGGAAAATTCAAAAGAAAGCTTCGATTACGAAAATCCATTGCATTTGGTTATTATTTATTATTATTTTTATCATTATCATATTATCATTTGTTGTTGTTTTGTTTTTTTGTTTTTGTGATAACCTTGTTTATCACGAATTACTTATTTGAGTGAAACGTGCGCGCAGTGCATCCGACTACCACAACTTTTGGTTTAAATTTTAGTGAAGTAAAAATTATAGAGAAATAAAATTTTTTGCAAGCAGAATGAAAGTTTAGCAGCTGCCACAAGCATTTCAGTAGCTCATGTGAGCAGAATTGTTAAACGTAGGAGAGCCATTTATTAACTACAATTTATGTGATTCAGATTTCGCTAAGACAAAAAGCGATCAAGCGATTCACCCTAAATTTCTATCTGTACAAGTCCTCTCTATTAGCCAAAGCGATAAAGGAAGGGCTTAGCAAGAAAACAACTAAACAGGAAAAGGAAGAACGACCTTGAATTAGCATATATAAATAAGAAGAAATATAGTTTGCGATTTAATTATCGAGCTAATTATCGAGAACATCTGGAATAATAAAAGCAGAACAAAGATGCTAATGGCACACCTGATTACTTAGTATAATGGTCGTATCATCAACAAAATTTCTTCAATTTGTGCCCAGTTTAAGAACTTTGCTTCGGAAATAGTCTGCTAGTGATTACAATTAGTTATTTTTCCCACTAAGATCACAAGCAGTGAATTTCTAGAAAGTGGAATTTATCTTAAGCGAAAATCATCTTAATAATATTTTTTATTTAACTACCAATTTGATTTAATGATAAAATTTGTGGTTAGTTCGAAAGTTTCTAAATTTCATGGCTGATTTTCATGGAAGAATCGATTTATTATTGATAGCGTCAATAGAGACGATGAGGGTGGAACATTCCCATTCTGTATAAATAAAAAATAACTGATTATAATAGCTGATTTTTTTCCCCCTTCTTAGAGATTCATTTGAATCTATGATAATTAAAATAGCTACTAATTTTTGATAATTTTCCACTCATTAATTTATCTCATCTCTTTAATTATAAAAACAAATCAACTCTAAAGCAAATCTAAAAGTTTGCAAATTTTGCAAATTA